TTCCGCCCGACCTCCAAGTGACGCTGGAATTCCATCCGACCTCCAAGTGACGTTGGACTTATGCCTATTTTCGGACTTTCATCGGACATCTATGTGATGCTGGATTTATCTCCATTGCTGTATTTCTACCTGACATCGTCTTTCTGACCTATATCGTCATACAATGGTTGTTCTGGCTAACGTCGCCCACCGACTACAGTCCTTCTGCCCCTCGTCACCTGCTGACAATGATCCTTCTAACTAACGTCGCCTGCCGACTACAGTCCTTCTGACCTCCATCTCCAGCCGACAATGGTCCTTCCGATTTATCTCGCCGCCGACTACAGTTCTTCTAACCTCTATCACCCGCCGACTACGATCTTTCCGACTTATGTCGCACACCGACTATAATCCTTCAGACCAAACAAATACATAAACAATGATGTTTTATATTCTCACCATGCAATGTACTCTATAAGATGTACATCAAGCTAAGGCCTTCCCCTGAGGAAGGACCACCTTCGTAATCAACTACAATACTAGTGGATTCATTCATATTGGGCTAGACCCCATGGTTTTTCCCCCTTTTAGGGGTTTTCTACGTAAAAATATTGGTGTCTCACAAATGCTAGACCCTAACTCTTATATGATTGCGTGCCGGATTTTCGTACAATGCTAAGACACTAAACTTTATATTTCTCTACCGACACGAATACTCCAGGACGCAACAATACTAAAATAATATATTGAATAAATTTCCTAAAGTTTGTTTCTAAAGTTAAAAAATTAGACAACAATGGTAGGAGAACTCTCCCTGTTCTCTAATTACGCCTAGAATACATTAAAATTAGTTTATATCAATGGTTAATTAAGATTTGTTTAGTTTGTTAATGCATTGAATTTTTGTAGTTTCAACACATATATAATGTAAAATGAATGAAATTTATTTCAATCTAGCTATCCAAAGTATTTTTTGGGATTTTTTTTTGGAAGAACAAGCAGATTGTTGTTCATAAAAAGCAAAAAGCTTAAGAAGATCAATTATAACTCAATCTTCTTGTGCGACATACAATGATGATGCTTCAGACAATAAATATTGTTTGATAATTTTTTTTTTGTGTGTCAAGATCTTTGCAGGAATTTAAGTCAAGGAATAAATGCTTTGTATTTTCTTTTATGATAGAAGATCACTTCCAAATTTTAATAATAACTTAACTTTTTCTTAATATTACACGGTAAAATAAGGGTATTTATGTGAACAACTTTTTTTTCTTATAAATTGGTTTAGATTATTCTTACTTTAAATTTGTAATGAGATTTGTAAACAAATTATTTATTGTGTATTGTGAATAAGTGTACTTGTGTAAATTCATGCCCATATTCGTTCTGGAAAGGCTAAGATCTAATGTTTTGCAGTTTTATTTTAAGATTTTATGTTTTTACTTTTGTGATAGTGTTACTTGTCAATATAAATGTTTTCCTAGCTATATTTGATTGTTTTTAATTATAATTGTTTTCCACCTGTGTTAGTTAAACAATCTCCTATTCAATTTAGGCAACATTATTTTTTCAGGATTTTTTTCTCAAAAACTGTTGAATTGTTATTAAATTATTATTATTATTATTATTTTATGCTTGTGCCATTTAAAGTTAGCTATCTAAGAACGAAATGCTTATAAGATTTGTGGAAAAAACATGGACAATAATTCCATGTAAAATAATTTAGGAATCAACGAATATTATTGGGAACAATGCCTTCTATGAATGGACATGCTTTTATGTTGGTTTATAGAGTATGCCATTTAGAAGAATAGAGTAAAGAGGGGAGGAAGAAGATACTTATGCCCCTAACAACTCCTTGGACTATTTAATAGGCTTATAGTTAGTAAAATATTAGCTAAACATATGATATATATTATACTTCTTCTGGAGGAAGTAGAAGCTCTCTTGATCCAATTCTTAATATGAGGTTGATAAACATATCACAGCTTTCCCAACGCCATATTAACCCACTTTACAGTCTCCTTGATCTATAGATCCTTCTCAAGAAACTTAGAGTAGTTGGTCGACACCTGCGTCCACGTCCCTGCTCGAGCCTCCTGAGCCAATGTGGCAACCCCGCAAGAACACCTGAGGCAGTAACATCGGCCTCCCTTTCCCGACAATCAGCCCCCGGAGCTCTGCATGATACGCCACATCCATGAAAACATCCCACTCTCCAACCACAATGTAAACTATATTTCACCCTTCCCCTTCACATGCCCATTAGTGGTCTGCTACCAATTCCACTTCAAGAAAGAAAGAATTGCTCTGCATCCAATAATCCCCAAGTTGTGGTGATGAAAGCTCAACTCAGCTTGTCTATGGAATGATCATTCTGTTGTCAACTCCTTCCAGTGATCTTTCATATCAATTTAGTAATTTAGTTGTCTATCCTTTCCAGTGGCCTTTGATTATTAGGTATTTTATACTTTTGTTAAGTTGGTCTTTGATATCATTTTAGTACTTTAATTGTCTATCCTTTTAAAGTGATTTTGGAATTTTTATTTAGTGAACTTGTTCGGGCTTTCTGGTGCCTGAATTATATTCGTGAAAAGTATTTGATGTGAATCAGCTGAATGATGGTTGTGTTAAGAAGTTCCAAAGAGGTTGGAGGGCTAGTGGTCATTGGATGATGGGTTGATAGATTACAACTTGAAATGCAACTACTTGCTTAATCGAGATTGTTTTGTACATTGCCAAGTCTAATCTGATGCTATAAAGAAAATATTAATAGTAATCATGATCCCTGCTACGTTCCTCATATGCGTCAGACATATTAAAGATAATGATAGTTTCATTTATAATTATTATTGGATTTTCATTGAACAAGCAATGTTAAGAATCTTAATGCTTTATGAATTATACAATCATTTAATAATAATATCAAATTGAAATTATATTATTTGGTGTATTTTGTTCCCATAATTGAAGTCGGTCGGTCGAAACTATCAAAAGATCTTATTAAAATTAAAGATGTAATGATAACTCCGAAACTTATTTCGGCAATTGAAATCATTCCTCTAAAAGGATCCATACAACATCAAATTTCTAATTTATAAAATAAATTATGAATAGTTGGTGAAGGAAATTTTAAGAAAAAAACTTTAAAAAAAATATTTTAACAAAAAACATAGAAGAAAGCAATAATAAGCCATATTAACCCTTGAAGGAACTAACTCGAATGAAACAAAATACTTATGAAACATTCATCATAGTCCCTATTCCGAGCAGCCAAACCAATAGCCAACCGCCCAATTAACTTTGAAGAAGCAATATAATACCAAACTTTAACAGATTAACCAAAGGCAGCACAAAAATTCTCCCAAAACATTTGTTAAATAACAAGTCATCACCACATAATTAATCCTGAACACAGCAGATAACCAAATTCAACACAAAAAACTCACAAATACTGTTAGATAAACAACTCTGACACAAAATTATTCGCTTACTGGCAGAAGGCCAAAGCCAGCACAAGAACATTTGCAAATACTGGCAAATAAATAATGCCATCACAAAACTACTCACAACAAATGCAGAAAAAACCAAAGCCAACACAAAATTCTTAGAAGCACTAGCAGATTAATCATGGCCAATCCGAACGACCTTCACCTAAAACTCCTCAGAAAAGCAACTACTTCATAACATGGAATAATTTCCCATAAGTAATTTTTGTTAGAATTTCATTCTTAATAAGCCTTTCAACAGATTCTTTACTATTAGTATTACAGCAAATCTTCTATTGTTCATGTCTCTCCTTAAAAAATATAACTTGCATCAAGAAGTACAAAAAACTAATTTTTTTGCATCCTTCTCTATATTTGAGATTGAAATAAAGTCTAAGACTTGAAGGAAAGTAGGCCTAAGAATACAATATTGTAATCCAAAAACCAAATAAAAAATAATGAAGAAGGAGAAACCAAACTCAAAGAAGAGGGGTATGAGTTTCATCAGCATTAGCACATAAAACACAAGCGTGGTGAACATTTAAATTTATTTTTGAAAGAATATCTACAATTTTCAGCCCTTTCAACATCGCCATCAAAGCATGCAAGAAAAAAGGAAAGCAAACCTCTTATGCCATATGAAAGAATATCATTCCATATGAGTAAAACCATCATAAAATGAAGCATAAAAATCTTAAAAGGTGGAAGAAGCACCTCACCCCAGGATATATCATATGTAACTTTATTAGAAATGGAAATATTAGAAATATCCAAGCAAACATATTCTAGAAAAAAAAAGGCCGCAAATTCCAACCATATGGCATAAGAGTATGTGTGAAACAAAATTCTCACCAGTCCGTATTCCCTCAAAATAAAAAATGTTAGGAAAGCCTTTTTGAGCCAACCCTTCAGAAGTAGAATTAATCTTAATACTACTTATATTTTGCCTTACACAAATTCTAGAATAAAAAAATCCAAATCATCTTCTCCACAAAGAGACCCATTTAGCTTTAGACCTCTGAAAAAGCCAAGAAGCCCACAAAGATATATTATAATTAAGGAGTTAACTTTCTTTAAAAAAACATCCAGCTGTTGATCAAGAGGATTAAATTGAATATTATGTAATAGAAAACTTTATTTTTTATATAGATAATTCATAGAGGTAGAGACAAATTTGGAGGAGATCCAAGGCTGAGCTTTAATTTTACATTTGAACTTATATAACTTAGAATAAAGAACATTAATTGGGCTAATAACAGGGACAACAACAAAAATATCAACAAGTAAATCCCAAAACACAGATTTTTTACCCCAAAATTATTTAAAATTAATTTATGCCTAAGAATAAATGTGTTTATAACAAAGCAGAAGAGTAGAATGATCAGAGCATCTAGACTTTTCCACACAATAATAAGAAGAAAAATATTTCAATCAATAATCGTTAATCAAGATTCTATCTAGCTTAATATGAATACGAAATCACTCCTCTTAATATGAATAGGGAATCACTCTGATTAATTAGGGAAATTAATTTCTTCACCGAAAACAAAAAGGCATGAAAAATAAAAAAATAAAAAATACTAATCTAATAACAGCCGATCCTGATTTGTTTCCCGTCGATTTCTCAGCGGGAAGTTCCTCAAGTTCTACTCTTGTCCTTAGCTAATGGTAAAATATCTTGCGTTCTCGCTCTCACTGCTATTTGGGACTATGATTAATAAATGTCTGGCGGCAGGACAAATCCGACGTAGAAGAAGAATTTGCGCCTCTCTTCGATTACAGCGGCGTCCACTCGGCCGGTTTACATAGCCTCAGCGGTACATCATCCTTCTCATTGATGTTTTACATGATTCTTCTCTCGTAATCAAATTACTGAGGTATCTGTAGATGATGACTTGGATGATTCTCCTGTGGTTTCGAATGGGAGCCGGAAGAGGAAAGATTGTAAGGCAAGTGAATTGTTACTTTTCCAACGGATTCACCCTTTTTTGTGTTAACCTAAATGTGTCGGATTAGTATTTTCTCGCTTTCTTTTTGGGTGAAAAAACTTGAATGGTCAGGAGGTTGTAAATATGCTTGACGAGGAGGGTGAGGACGGGGATGAGAAGAAGAAAAAAGAAGAAGATGAGGACTGGATGCCTCCTCCACCCAAAATGAGATGCATAAGTTCAGCTGTTTTTGAAGACAATACTTTAAAAGCGTTGAGGTATTTATATATTTACAACTTTCATGTGTGGAATTTTTGTCAACAGTCACCCTACAATGATCTGCAGCCAAACTATGCCATGTTCTACTCAGGATGAGTCACGTCAAAGGTCACCCTATAATGATCTATAGCCCCTCCTAGATAAGATTTTAACCATTAACCATTAACTTTGAAAGATTGGGCAGTTTTTCTATTCTTAATTTCTATAGTTTCATATGGATATACCTCTATTACTGTGAATGGACCAGACCACTTCAACTTTAACTTCTAAAGAAATAATTTCAATCTTAAATTATAGAGAATTACTTATTGTCTAGGTTTAAATTCTTTTGTAAGAAGCTTCTATCATGCTATTTTTTAATCTAGTTCATATATAATTTGGTATTCTCATAAACTTCCGCTATAATTTTTTTCAATTCATTCAATTGTAGTAGTCTTTTTTCAACAACATCCTTTAGGTTGTAGTTTAATTCTTTAACTGCCTAGTAAACCTTATGTTCAAATTCCAAGGTAACTGAAAAACTTTTCCATAAATTAACCTATAGCTATGGAGATATATCTATTAGGCTCTTAAAGGCTATTCTATATACCCAAAGTGCATCATCTAATCTATGAGCGCAATCTTTTCTATTTGAATTTACGGTCTTTTCTAAAATTCTTTTAATCTCTCTATTGCTTATCTTAACTTGACCATTAGTCTGAGAATGATAAACAATTTCTATCCTATGTTGAAACTCATATTTAAAAATTAAGTTCTCCACTCTCCTATTATAAAAATTGCTTCCCCTATTACTAATGAGTACCTTGGATGTTCCAAAAATATACTTGAGTTGTACAGTCTGATTGGGTTGACTTGTACTCTCATCATACTCCTTAGAAGATATCTTAATAGACTGGATTTCATTTTAGGTTAAAGTAGAATTGAGGAAGAGCTGCTCCTTCCCAGTGTCTGCTAAGACTCCAGTTCGGATATACAAAGAATAAGCTAGATAATAATGCCTAAAACTTACAAAAGTGGATCCTCTAATCATATGCAAAAGGGATTGGTGAATTATTTTTCCTACATCTATACTAAAACATGTCTATATAGCATAGTTAAGGAAAGCCCTATCCTTAGTAACCTTGCTAATATTAGTATTTAGTACTAAGCATTAAGCTAACATAAATGAAATAATATGTTTTGGCTTATAGGGTCATGGCTGGAGTTGAAAACCGTGATGAAATGCTTTTCGATTGTCAAATACTTATGGTAAAAGTAGTGTTAAAAGTGATCAAAGTTCCTTCTAATCATTCTGTAAAGGTGTGCTAGGAAGTAGCAACCTTCTTTGGTAACGATACTTATCAAGATCCAGAGCTAAGATAGACTCCATGTCCTTCATAAGTTTGGCTTCATCAATAAAAATATACTTCAAATCAATTCTTGATAACTTGTATTGATCATGCATGACAAACTCATAGGTAGTCACAAGTGTCTTCAAATGTTGCATCTCCTCTTTTTCCCCCAAAATTTACACCTCCCAATCCTCTCTCATCATCCCTATATTAGGGATCCCCCCACTTGTCCAATCAGCGGTGCCCTTGCCTCTGATGATGTCGTCTTGGTTTGAAACTCTAACATCCTTTTCATCATCTCTTCCATATTCAAAAGTCTGCCCCGAATTGCTGACATTTGCTCTCCAAATTCAGATTTCAGATTTTCAACTTCCCCATCAAGCCTCTCCTCCAACGCATCAACCTTCTTAGCCGTCATAGATCCCAAAAAAGGTGCTTTCATACCAATTGGATAGGAATTTGATCTCCACACAACAAAACCAGCAATAACAAAGAGAACACACAACAAAAACCCGCGAGATTAATTTTTATATCGACACAACAAATCAACAAACAAGTTGATCAATTATTCGAGAGGTTGATCGACTCTCCCCAAAATTAGGCGTTGCTAGGAACAAATCCAAAGAAAACTACAATCAATCATAGTTCACATAATAAAAATAAAACAACCCAATTAACCCTAATATAAACCTTCTTACTTCCCTCCCAAATCTGAATTCAAATAAACCATCTTTCCCTAAATATGCCTTTCCAATTTCCTCCAAAATATGAATTCAAATCAGCCCTCTTTCTCCAAATGAACCTTTCCTAACTCCCACCCCCAAATCTGAATTCAAATCAGCCATCTTTTTCTAAATACACTTTTCTAATTCCCTCCCAATTTTTTAAGTTTTCTGTGGTAAGTAATTAAAGTGGAATTAATCCCCTTTGCTCTTCTTGACTGCCACCCACCCTAGTGGGGCCCACAGTTAGTGACAAGGAGCTAGTTACAAAGAAAGAAAGTCAATGGAAACATCACAATGGAAAAAAATTCTTCTTGAGGTTAAACTTTTGAACTCCTTATTTGTCAATTAGAATTCCATGGTTTGAGAAATGAAACCATGCATTAACGAGTTAGACTTAGTTTACTTTTCAAATTACTAGAGAACATATTATGTTCTTATTGGTGTCATCATCATAAGCATGATTTGACATTTGAAATGAATTAGAAAACAAAATTTAAGATTTTGCATTTTTAATTGTTATGAACTTTCAGATTTCTGTTACAAAAAGATACAACTAAGATTTGATAACTTTCATGTATGGCCATAATAAATTTTCTATGTACTATTATATTTTCTAAATTTTAAGTTTTCAGTGCTTTCAACAAATTGTGTACTTTCTCTATATATACTGTTTTATCTTCAGAAGATAGCTCCAACTTTGCATCAACCTAAAATGTAGGTTGGTGTCATGGTTGGATGTAATCGCCCTCATCTTCATATGCATCATTCTAAGTATCTTTATACTCCCAATTTGTGGTTGTAATCTACTTTTGTTTTTGAGAAGTTAAATTTAGAAATGCCATTTTTTGTGTGAGATTGTAGATGTTCCTATTTAATATTTTCTAGTCTACCATCTCTATCCTCTATGGAAGAAATAGTGGCTTCTCTTTATCTAATTTGGATGTTCTTTAGCCTTAACAACATCTAGGTACAGGGTTCTAATTTTCACCATTTTAAAATTTTCTCTCAAAACCTACAAGTCGAAGATCTATTATCTAATACCAAATTATGATCCATAATCTATTATGGGTCTATTCTTCTCAATGGGTTAGATCACAATATAATGTATTTATGGTAGAGTTTGGATTCCTTTAATCGTGGTTTAAAATTATAGAAATGATATAATGTTGTCGGATCAAAGAAGTTTAAGTGAAGTATTGGTGATGTGGACATCAGACCCTTAATGTTCCCTCAGAGATGTGACCGATGATCGACGGCTATGATGACGCCTTTTTTTATTTCAATTATATGTGATGTATTTATTTATTTTTTTTTCTTTTCCATTTATGCCCTTGCTTAAGGGATTAGTTCTTTGTAAGCCCCGAGGGCATTGTTGTCTTTTATTTTTTCCTTCTTGTATTTATCTATTTAAGCCCCTCCTCTTCTTGGAGAAGGGCTAATGAAGATTATTATGAAAATTTCTGTGTTTTACTCTTGTGAGAGCTTGAGAGTTCTTGGAGAGAGGTTCGAGAAAGTCCCTTGGTGAAGGGCGACGCAATGCCCACCAGTCATTGGAAGAGTCCGTGGCTCGTGGTCGTTATCTTTTCCCCTCGTCTTTCTTTCCTACCCGCCACCATCCCCACTTGCTCCCAAGCTGCCACCTCCCTTTCCTCCACCTCCTTCCTCAAATTCGGCCACCACCAATTGTTGAGTTAGGAAAGAGAAGCCCCAAGATTTGAAATTCAAATTTTGAATTTCAAAATCTTTCCTAATTTGCCCCCGCCATATTTGGAAAGTTTTGAATCTCATTCAATTTAATTTTATGCTAAAGCCTAGTAATAGGAAGAGTTGAGTGAAGGTTTCCTTGTAGTAGCTAGTCTTATTGTTAACAAAGGGATCTATTGTTGAGACCATTCACGTATGCAAAAGTAGATTAAATTGATTGATTTTTATGCTCTTCACTTCTAGGCACGCAATTAACCAACACTATTTATCATTTTAATATTTTATGTTATCGTTCAAACCAACATGAGATCTTGCTTATTATTGTTCTCTAAAACTAAACGTGCAAACGTCCTTTAAGCATCTCATCTTCGCATGGATTGTATCACATCAATTGGACAAAACTTAAAACCTAGCATGCACAAGAGAATAACTTAAGAGAGCTGTAACTGCCAATCGTACAAGCCTTAGAGGCCTTCTACTCCTTGTATGTTTGTTGCTCGCCTCTGTTTGTCCCATTTTTTAGTATAAAATACTGGTCAAGCACATTTTTTCTAACTATAATAGAGAACCAACAACAACTACAAGACTTTAATCTTTCCTTGATGGATGTAAAGTTGAAAAAATAGTAGAATTTCTATGTTTTGTGCTCTAGCAACACTTTACATGCTTAAGCAACAGGGACTAGGGTATTTAACGAGTATGAAGAGGAGAGGAGAGACTTAGTTTAATTAAAGGGAATAATTTGTCTTTATTGATTATTTCCCATTAGCAAATACGAATGCTTATTTATAACCTACTAAAGCTATCCAGATTAATAAAATAACCTAACATAATTTTGTCCTTATATAAATGCATATCACAATTTGTTTAATCAATTATTAAAGGAAAAAACCTATAGAATATTCCTAAGAATTATTCTCTATTTGATTTGGCATCTAGGGGGAATTTTATGCATTTTGATTTTCAACAGCAGCATGATTTTCCATTGAATATGTATGATTTTGATGCGAATTTGAAAGTTTGTGCTTGACTTTGTGCATTCGAATGCTGAATTGTGTTAGAAAATCCAACACCCTAACACTTCCTACATTAGATTTGTATATCTTTAGGCTGTAATATAGTGTCTAGATGTAAGATACAATGACTAGGGTAGTTAACAAAATAAATAAATAATTCAATTTAGGCATATACATTAATTTATGATTTTGGAGGAACTCAGGATAATTATCATTTTATTGT